TTATTCTGTCCGGACACCAGATGGTTCAGAGACCAAGCAGAACGCACCATATTATCCGGTACACAGCGGTATTGAGCACCGGTACCGAGAAAAAAAATGGCATAGTGCATTCTGATTGGTCTCCGGACGCCTTCCGAGGTCCACACAAAATAATTTTTCTCATTTGAGACCGTTCTAGCCACTGTTTTTTGGTTATTTACAAAAATTTATATTAAAAAAAGCTTAAAAATTAATAAAAAAAAATTATTTCAAACAAAACCTTTAACTTTAAGTTCTTAAAATTAAAAACTCCTCTTTTTTTTTTTCGCCACAATTTAAAGAAAAATTTCAAAAATAGCTTTATAAAGATAAAAATTTTAAATAATTATCTTTCAAATACACATTATTTTTTAATAACTATTTTTCTTCTCACAAAAAAGTTTAAAAAGTTATTCCAAAGGAAGCCCAAAACTATTGACCACTCTCTTTTTTTTTTTTTTTTACCACAGTTCCAAATATATTTTTTAAAAAATAACTTTTTTTTATTATTTGAAACCATTAGAGAATGTTTTGGATGTATTTGCATTAAAGAACAATGGCGATTAAGACAGAAAAAATACGAAAATTTTAAAATATTTGATGAGAAAAGTGGTAAAATAAACTACATGGAGAGAGATCTTTTAAGATTCTATTATTTATGTGTGTACGGCATTGAAACTCTGAAGATAGGTGTTTCAAGTTGTTAGAACATAAAGTGGTTTCTTAGCTCTAAGATTATAAAAACAAGATCCTATATTTTTTCTAATGATTGAAGTTTCATTTGGGACATCTTTTGACTATTATTTTTTAATTACTTTCAAAAAAAAATTTATACTAAAAAATTATTTTAATATTCTTATTCTGCATTCTCCATCTCTCAATTGAATACGACAAGAAAGGTCCTTAGATTCTTAAGATAATATCTTATTGAGTTGGATCATTTCTTGTGAGGCTGAGCAATTAGCTTTATTAGTATCAGAGAAAAGGAGGAAGAGGAGCAGGATAAGTAAATATGGCGAGAAAAAGTGTTGATTTGGAATTCTCGCCAAATTCAAATCAGTCATGATTTAGAAGGCTTTAATGACTCAATTATGTAATTAATTAGGGAGTGATTATTTCCCCAATTAAATTTATTTGATTTAAATTTTAATTAGAGATTTGATTGATGCATTAATTAGGGGGTCTAATTATTACATTAATTAGGGATTTAATTAGGATGAGATTAGGAAGCTTTTTCCTGATTTACTTTGGCTGAACTCTATAAATAGAGCACCGATGGCTACTCTTGAGTGTATGTGAGCGCAATAGAGAGCTCATTGTAATTCTCTATTGTTGTTCAATATAGTGAAAGCATCATCCCCTCCCTGTGACGTAGGCATCTTTGCCAAGCAACGTAAATCATCGTATTTATTGTGTTTGTGTTGCACAACAAAAGGTCCCTCATCCAACATTATTCAATTCAAAAGAAGCGGTTGAGTATGCGAAATCCACAAATGAGATGAAATCACTAGAGATTGCTGGAGATAAATGTCATTATGAAGAGAAGAAAATAGAGGGGGCATTTATTATTGTCTATATATACTCAATCAAACATTATATTAATGGAACAATAACAATGATTAGTTTTGAAGATTCTTAATTTTCTTTTATTTTGGTCGAGCATTTGTAAGAGATATTAAGGCTTCCTTTGGTATGGCTTTCTTGCTACTTCTCTAAGCAGCTTTTTAGTAAAAAATTAAAATTTATGTACTTAAAAAGCTGCTTTAAGAAACAATAAGAAAGTCATCTCAAATGAAACATAACTCTATCATGCACAAATTTTTCATGAATAACTTGTATCAATATTACGTAGGAACTCTCTTTTTATTCCTAATATTTCAACCAATATATGCTACTATTATGGGTCCTCTAATATTATCATTCCTCAATAAATGTAAGTATAACTTTTTATACTCCAATCCAACACTTGAGAATGAGAAAACTGACCTAACTATAATGTTATAAAAATATTTTTATTTATTTATGGTCACATATTATTGTTTAATAATCCTAATTCTTTTCATATTTTTAATCATTCAACTTTGATTTTTAATGATCCATTTTCATCTTAACTTATATAAAATCTTCTATTCAAAATTGTGGATCAAGCAATGATGCATGAGCCATTCATTTGAAGTGTTAAAAAAACTATGAAAGGTCAATATCATTCATTAGCTTTTCCTTTTAATAATCAGTGTTCTTGTATGTTTTTCTTAGGGTTTAGGGTTAATGGCCATTTGATTTAGGTTTCACTATGATTTGCCATTTGGTAAAAAAGGTGAATAACCATATTATTTTGTATAATAATAAATTATTTATTTGGTATGAACTAAGAGGTCGTTTAGTTTGAAGTAAAAAAATTGTAAAGTATTTCAAATTGAAGTTTGGTATGAAATAAAAGAAACACGGCAAAATTTTGAAGTATTTGGAAACCACTCTCTAGCCAACATGGGTAGTTCCTAGCTGCTACCACCACCACCAGCCATTGCCAACTGCCTACATTATGCCTCATGCTAGCTTCTAACAACCACCACTTGCCACCTGCAGCCCGCCTCTAGCCACTGGCCACCGTCCGCCACCCTCTAGTCACTGCCATCTTTGAACTTTACATTACATTGATTTTACCGCAAGCCAAATATAAAAAAATAATCACATATATTTATTTTAAACTCATTCTAATACGTACAAATATTTCAAATACATTATATTCATTTTATCCTGCATTTCATTATAAACCAAATATCCCCTAAGAGATTATTTATTTTGACTTGGCATTTGAAAACATTTGAAGTTATTTCAATTAAAAATTAAATTATTTTATATGTATATTGGATATATTTTTCAATTTTTATGAACATAATTATTTTAAGATTGGGTGCACTAAGCAATATTTTTTTATAATTTAATTCTGTTAACTTTATATAACTTTGTTAATATAATAAATAAAATTATTATTGCAGCATGTTATTTCATTTGTGCACTCAGATCAGGTTGACTCAGTTTGAAGAATTTGAATGAATCAGGCAATTACAAGGTGATGGACAGATTATTTGCCTACTCTATCAAGCTAGCTGCATATGGCAGGGAGAGTTATTTGGTGGATTATTAAACTAACCACAATTAGTGGTGTAAATAAGTACTCAAACTAGAGCCTTCGTTTGGAAAAATTATTGCGTCCTTCCATCTGACGTAGAGATACGTCCTCCCACCGCTAAAAAAGTCGGTTTTTTGCTCGGTATTGCTAGCTATTATTTGGTAATAACGAATAATATCATCATGTGAAGACCAATACCGAGTTATACCGAGATATACCGAGCAATACCGAGTTTTTTCTAGAAAAAACTAGGTATTTTTTTGTATTGCTCGGTATTGCTCGGTATAGCTCGGTATAACTCGGTATTGGTCTTCACATGATGATATTCCTCGTTATTGTTTGGTTTTGCTTGGTATTTCTCATTTTTTAGCGCGATTTTAGCGGTGGGAGGACGTATCTCTACGTCACGTGGGAGGACGCAATAATTTTTCCTTCATTTGGGACAGTTTTCTTGTTGCATCTTAAAGCAACTTTTTAACATAAAAATTAAATTTTTTATACTAAAAAGTTGCTTTAAAAAATAATAAGAAAGCTGATCCAAATAAACCCTAAGTTTGAGCTTGATTATATCATAAAATTTGAGCTCAAGCAAACGCATAATTCAACGAATATGAGTCTGGCTTCTTATTTATTATTAAAAAAAAAATTATTTTGACTCCAATTATGATTATAATAAATGATAAAAATGATGAGAAATTAGAATAGTAATAAGAAATAATAACTTAATAAAAGTGAGATGCAAATTTTAAATTTTTTTAGCAACTCTGTGCATAGACTCGTAAATTATGATATAATTTTAAGTATTTTTTATAATAATGTTTCTAAATGAGTTCGCTCATGAGTTAATAAGTCCAATCGGGGTTAACCCTAACTTTACTCGTTGACTCATCAAATTTGACTCGCAAGCAATTAATTGAGTCGAGCCTGAGCTTGTTCATAAGTCGGCTTGACTCATTTATACCACTAACCACAACGATGAAATTTAAGGAACTTTTTAGGTGATTATGTTGAACTAGTTGGACCATGGAGCATTGTGCAACAGCCTGTTTGTAGGAAGTGGCAGTTGCTCGTGGCAACACTTGCAAACAACAATAGGATATCCATCATGCATACAATAGCCTGCATATGAGATTAAGGTGGCAAACTCATGGTGAACATAGATTGTCTGTAAGTAAAGCATGTAAGGTTGAAATGCATATAGCAGCTCTGCCTAGAAGCAATGTTGGAGAATTTATGCAAGATGAATGCTACCTACATGCAAGGACTGGTGATTTTTAAAAGTTCGCAGCCCACTGATGGTCTATGCAAATCTCGCAGTGCAAGAAGCAGTGAGCGACTCGTAGTGCAGCGCTACAACCCGCTTACAAGCAATGTTTAAAGGTTCACGTTGAGCACAATCCACCTACTTGCAATAGCTAGTGACTCCTAAATACCTAATGCTATAGCACGAGCAGTGTTAACAAAGCTCGCATTGCACGAATGGCTACCTGCATAAAGCAGCAAATGACATGCAGTGCAACGCTACGATTCACCTGCAAGTGGAAGCAGAGAACTTGTAGTAAAAGTTACGAAGCACTAGTGGAGGGTTCCCAATGTATTATACAGTATGTTTGCAGGTAGAAGTCCATCCCTGCAGGTTGAATACTAAGGAAAATGACAATATGCACGAGATGAAATGAGACAAACTACATTACTAGTGTACAATATATGAAGTTCAATACACTGCTCAGCAACGCCACCAAATCCATAATATTCATACAAGCAGACAGAAATAGTCTACAAGCTTCTAAATAAAATGTTGTGCACACCCGAACGACAACCACTCACACAGCAGATTGGTATCGAAGACTTTAAAATGCCCTTCTACGTACATTTGCAATAAGCAGAGGATTTCATTCAAGCATCTTATTCTGTGTTGCATTTACATGCAAAAATATCACATGCTACAACTAAACGTTATGCAACTGCAAAATACACCATACATGCGTACATGCAAATGTGTTGTACACACCTATTGCATGCATACAAATAACCGCTTCACCAATACACTATGCAAAATACATGTAAAAGCATACACCGGCATGAGCTCCGACGAGCATAATGCACATACACGTTGGGCAGGTCAAGAAATGAACTTAAATTCCAGTATGATCCTTCGATGGAATAGATAGGAGACATGGCTCTATCATCACATGTGATATTATTAAAAACTCAATCTGCCTTCTGAAAAATTCCTTTAGGACATACTCGTTAAAACTCTCATCGTTGACCTGCAAAAGAATAAAATGGCCACGGAGAGACTGGATTGTAAATTTTCAAAGCCCATATTGAACAATCAAATATGAACAATGAGCTTCAAGATCTATGATCATAGATTTGCTACATCAAGATTTATAATTAGGTCAACATAGAACCTTATAAATTTGAGTGGCCAATGGATAGAAAAATCAATGTTATATACAATCCATTTTGTATGGTGATCATCCCAATTTAGCCAACTTTCATTTCGTAATGTCACTAAAACCCTTAATTATGAGAAGAACAAATCATCTTAAATGAACATAAGGTCCATTTATATCTTTCATTTATGAAGTAATTCAAAGAATTAATTTTTAATTCAAGCTTTCTCTCACTCTAATGATTGCAATTCAACCACATTATTTACTTCCAATAATTAATGAAATTCTCTAATGAGCTTCAATTAGTGAGTAATATAATTTCAAAATGCTTGATTGTATCTTTTGTTTTCATTAATTATGTGTGATGGCTTGCTATAAAGGATCTAAAAATTTTGAATATTAATTAATCGAATATATTAAATTCTCTTTTACAATATTTTTTATAGGAAACATTTAATTTCTTGTAAAGAGAAGTATTTATAAAATAATGATATTTATATACTTAGTTATTTTAATGAATACAACTAGATATACATATCATTTTTTAACTCCACTTAACTATCACAGAAAAAATATTTTAACAAGAAATCAACCAATGCCAACTATCAGTGTCAAAATTCCCACTGCACTCTGCAAATTTAAAATGAAAAAAAAAAAAAGTTAAATAGCTTTAGCCATATCTCACCCTCATCACATCAATTTATTCTAATCTAGCAGTAGTAAAATAACAAAATTAGAATAGGAACCAAATGCATAAAACCAAACCAAACATGCCAAAAATTAAGTTCGCATCAAGTCGGTTAGGTCCGTGCCAGTCCAAGCCAAGTTAACTTGGCCTGCACAGGACTTAACTGCCTATAAGTAAACTCCGTTCCCGAAGGAGACTACAATATAAGAACTTTTTCCAAGTAGACAAAAGCGGCCTGTAGTCGGCACTGGCGAGTACAACCATTGAAGTCATCCCAAACAACTACTTAGATGGACAACTTCATAGAAAGCTATTGATCAGCTATTAGTCCATCAATACACATCAAGCCAATGACTTCTTAGGAGCCCGACAAACAACTTCATCTTAGTCAAACATTCAAATTAAGCCATATAAATTTCAAATCAACTTTACATTATCGAACTTCTGTTAACGAAATATATTTATTTCTAAGTACTTTACATTATTGAACTTCTCTAATATTTTATCAAATTAGAGGCTGAGTTGTTATTTTGGATGTGATTTTTTGCTATGTACACATTTTCTCCACTGTTAAAAGACAAATTTAGGAGTCCTCGTGAATAAACTACTTCATATCTACTATAAATCTTCATGAAGAAGCTAATTTACGTATACTCCAAATTTTCTTGAAAAAATCACATAAAAAGTCCATTCCAAAGCTTCATAATACTCTTTCTTTTCATGAAATATTTTCTTCAAATAACAATTGGGGGTTCAAAATTGAAAGCCCAATTGTTTTGCTGAAAGCCCAATTGTTTTGTGCATTCATTCAAATATATATATTTTTAGTGTCAATATTTTACCAATTTACATGTCTGACATCTTCACAGAAACGTTATAGTATGTGCAGGAGGAGAAATTATTAGGTACGGAGTGCGGACGGGAGAACCGTCTGCACACTAGTATAAAACAGTGTTCGGTACCGTTCGGTACCACTCGGTACCGCTGGGTACCGCTCGGTACTGTGTCTGTGCAGACGGTTCTCACCCCGTCTGCACTCCGCACCTAATAATTTTTCGTGCACACAAGGAGAGTGATCTGATCTTCATATATATCTCCAGTGATTTGATCTTTCTGCTCTTTATATTTTTTTTTTTTAGTTCCATTCAAGTCAAATAATGGTATCCATTTTGAATCAGATTGACACTAATCTGACACGACTTTTGCATTTATCATGTCATATTTAACATTAACCTGAATCAACACCTGTGAACACGGACCTGTTAACATAAATCTCATATGGTACGGCTAGAACTCAACATCAACCAGGCAGTTATCAAGAAATACACGTGTCAATTTCTCATTAGATGAATAATTGTATTTTTGCCTTCTAGCCTCTATAAATAAGCTACTTTATACATTTCTTATGTTATGATAAGACAATATAGAAATTTCCTTCTTTCTCTATTGTTTTCTTTTCTCCTTGCTTTTCTTGTTACAGCTCATGTTTGTGAAATCCTTTCATGCTATCAGAGCTAGCTTTCCCGTGACCGAATTTTGAATATTAATTAATCGAATATATTAAATTCTCTTTTACAATATTTTTTATAGGAAACATTTAATTTCTTGTAAAGAGAAGTATTTATAAAATAATGATATTTATATACTTAGTTATTTTAATGAATACAACTAGATATACATATCATTTTTTAACTCCACTTAACTATCACAGAAAAAATATTTTAACAAGAAATCAACCAATGCCAACTATCAGTGTCAAAATTCCCACTGCACTCTGCAAATTAAGTTCGCATCAAGTCGGTTAGGTCCGAGCCAGTCCAAGCCAAGTTAACTTGGACTGCACAGGACTTAACTGCCTATAAGTAAACTCCAAATTTTCTTGAAAAAATCACTTAAAAAGTCCACTCCAAAGCTTCATAATACTCTTTCTTTTCATGAAAATATATTTACTTCAAATAACAATTGGGCGTTCAATATTGAAAGCCCAATTGTTTTGTACATTCATTCAAATATATATATTTTTAGTGTCAATATTTTACCAATTTACATGTCTGACATCTTTCACAGAAACGCTATAGTATGTGCAGGAGAGTGATCTGATCTTTTTTTTTTTTTGAGACATTTAGGCCATTTAAGGCAAACTCAGACACACAACGCATACACATGGACTCGAACTTTGGACCTCTTAGTTGGAAGCCTAAGCTTTCAACCAATAGGCCAAGGATATCATATATATCTCCAGTGATTTGATCTTTCTGCTCTTTATATTTTTTTTTTTTTAGTTCCATTCAAGTCAAATAATGGTATCCATTTTGAATCAGATTGACACTAATCTGACACGACTTTTGCATTTATCATGTCATATTAGGTCGGGTTATAGTTTAGATTTTTTAACATTAACCTGAATCAACACCTGTGAACACGGACCTGTTAACATAAATCTCATATGGTACGGCTAGAACTCAACATCAACCAGGCAGTTATCAAGAAATACACGTGTCAATTTCTCATTAGATGAATAATTGTATTTTTGCCTTCTAGCCTCTATAAATAAGCTACTTTATACATTTCTTATGTTATGATAAGACAATATAGAAATTTCCTTCTTTCTCTATTGTTTTCTTTTCTCCTTGCTTTTCTTGTTACAGCTCATGTTTGTGAAATCCTTTCATGCTATCAGAGCTAGCTTTCCCGTGACCGTGAAACAGCACTTCTCATGGAGACTTCATCCGCGTCTCTTGCAGTCGCACCAGACGTTCGGCAAAAACTCAAGCTCCTTTCTTGATCCCCAACCCATTTCTAATTAGCTAAAGTTTCTCATGGGCAACATGAAGAGCATCATCCCTCTCACTCTTACAGCCGACAACTACCCAGTATGATGTTCACAAGTCTTCAAGCTGTTTAGAGCAAACGGCGTTGAAGGTTTTCTTGACGGGAACTGCACTTGTCCCTCCCGAAATGGCTCATCTTCTCCCACAACCCTTTCCTATCAAACATGAACGCTTCTTGATCAAAACTTGGCAGCTGCATTATACTCGGTTATATCTCCTAGTCTTCTCCCATATGTTTTATATTTGGATCATTGAGCAGAAATTTGGGACACTATAGCCCGCCGCCTTTAATCGTCAACCTGATCCCGCACAATCTAACTTCGCAATGAACTCCACCATCTTTCCATGAAAACCCAAACTATGTCCCAATACCTACTTACCATTAAATCCACGGTTGATGCCATTGCCACAACTGAATCTCCTCTTGATCCTAAAGACGTTATTCTTTATACATTAAATGGCCTTCCCACTCAATATCAAGAATTCAAAACTACCATTCGTACAAATCTTCAACCCATAAGTCTTGATGATTTGTATACATTATTATGCAGCAAAGAGCAAAATCTTGCTCAAGAAGCGACCAAAGAGCTTCAAAATCTTCAAATCTCTAAACCAACTATGACCTTAGCAGTTCCTCGTGGATGTGGATATCATTTATCTAACTGAGGTAATCCTCCATTTCCCAATCGGTCATCTCGGACACCTCAATCTCATTCAGAAAAATATAATTCTGGTTCAATAAAATGCCAAATATGTTCTAAAGTTGGTCATTCTGCTCTACGTTATTGGTATTATCATGATCCTTCTTACACAGAAGACTCGCAGAAAACGGCACTCTTCTCATCATCAGAACCTATCGCTCCACTGGATTGGTATCTTGATAGCAGTGCCACAACACATCTCACCACTAATCCCTCGCAGCTTAACTCTATCAAGTCATATGTCGACCACATCAAATTACCTTGGGTAATGGCCAACAATTGCCTATTCAACATTCTGAGAAAGGTATTCTTCCCACTCCTACAGGTAATCTCAATCTTCATCATCTATATCATGTTCCTAATATATCTTTCAATCTCATATATATCCAACATCTTATCACTGACAATAATTGCATTGTCAAATTTTCCTCTCATGGTTTTCAAATCCAGGATTCGAAGACCCGCCTTCTTCTCAAGGGTCCCTATCTTAACGGTTTGTATCATATTCACTCGTCCACTATCAAGCAACATCTAGCCCTTCTCTCAGCTCAAGGTGTACCAAATCTTTGGCACAGGCGTCTTGGTCATCTTGCCTACACCACATTCCAACAATTAGCAAACATTATTTCTTCTTTATGTACTAATTTCTCTGGTCCTCATTGTAATGTTTGTCGGTTGACCAAAAGCCAACGCTTACCTTTCAATCAGTACACAAATTATAGTCTGTCTCTTTTTGAGTTACTCCATTCGGATGTATGGGGACCTTCCCCTACTACCTCAATGCAAGGTTATAAATACTACGTATCTTTCATTGATAATTTTTTCAAGTTTTGTTGGGTGTATCCTCTCATAACTAAATTTGAAGTGATCTCTAAATTCATAGAATTTAACAATATGATCACTTGTCAATTCAATACTCACATTAAATTTTTTTATTCTGATGGTGGCGAGTTTATTAACACTAAATTTCAACTTCTTTGCAATCAATGGGATATAATTCATCAATACACTTGTCCATATACTCCATCCCAAAATGGTGTTACCGAAAGAAAGCATCTACACATCTTGGAAACTGTTTGTAGCTTTCTTATTTAAGCTAATCTACCTCAATCCCTATGGGTTGAAGCTCTTTATATGTCCATCTATCTTATAAATCGTCTACCCAGTCGCTCTCTACAACAACACAGCTCATATCATATCCTATATAAAAAAACCGGCCACATATAATCACCTCAAAATTTTCAATTGCTTGTGTTATCCCTGGCTACGTCATTATTCCACCACCAAACTATCACCACTTCCAATCCTTGTGTTTTCATCAGCTACGCCTCTTCTCAAAAGGGTTATCATTGTCTCAACCCAAAAATCGGTCAAGTCTACATCTCTAGACATGTGATATTCAATGAATCCATCTTCCCATAGCAACAAGCATCCTCCAACACATCATCCAATTCCAATCAAAATTTCATACCACCCCTCATATTGGTTCCTACTTCAACTATCAATACAAGAAGCTCCACTTCTCCCATTACTATAACTCAAAATATCTCTACAAACCAATCAATCTCGGCTTCGCACTCATCCTCCATCCCTACGATTACATTTCAAGACACCCATTCGCTAGCCGCTCCACTGCATGACACAAATCCGCCAATTGCTACCTCTCCAATCCTCAAACAACCACTCATCCAATGCAAATTAAATTTAAAACTGGTCATCTAAAGCCTAAAACCATTTTCAATCTATTTCATCATGATCTTCCTCAAGATCCTAGCACATTTGTTGAAGAGGTTAAGCAAGAGCATTGGCATGCTGCCATGTCTCAAGAATTTCAAACACTTCAATTGCAAGGTACTTGGGATCTTGTTCCACCTAATTCAAATCAAAACGTACTTGGTTGTAGATGGACGTTTCGCACAAAGTATCTAGCCGATGAAACTGTTGCTAGGTACAAAGCCAAATTGGTCACACAAGGATTTAATCAAGAATATGGTCTTGATTAGACAAAAACTTTCAGTATGATGGCTAAAATGCCCACTGTTCGAGTTTTTTTTGTTGTTGCTCTTCATTATGCTTTGCATATTCATCAGCTTGATGAATCTAATACTTTCCTCCATGGCCATCTAAATCGTACGGTTTATATGAAACAACCTACGAGATTCACTGATGCTCTTTATCCTGATCACGTGTGTCGTCTGAAAAAGGAACTATATGGACTTAAACAGTCTCTACGCAAATGGTTTGCTACTCTTTCTGGATATGTTCAAATTATTGGCTTTCGGATTAGCTCATCAGATCCTTCACTTCTTATGTATAATACTAATGGTATTTCAATGTATTTTTTGGTTTATGTGGATAATATTCTTCTTACCAGAAACTATACCAAAGCTATAAAGAAACTTCTCGATAATCTCAACTCAAAGTTTACTATGAGAGATCTCGGATCTCTCTCTCAATTTTTGGGTATCCAAGTGGTCCATGTGTCCTATGGTTTCCACCTAAATCAGTGGTCCATGTGTCCTATGGTTTCCACCTAAATCACAGTCAGTTTTCCCAAACCATTCTCTCCCGCACATGTATGCTAAATTGCAAACCGATTTCAACCCTTCACAAACAAAAGCCTCTCATACTACCACCAATTAAAATGTCTTTTTAAATCTTACTTTATACTGACAACTTGCTGGCTCTCTTCAATACCTCACATTAACCAAACCGGATATATCTTTGGTAGTTAACAAAGTATGCCAATATATGCAAAATCCATTAAATATTCACTTTGAAGCTCTTAAATGTCTTATGAGATACATTCAGGGAACTTAGCATACCGGTCTCCCTGTATTTAGATACTCTCTTACACTACATTCCTATGTGAATTCCAACTGGGCAGGAGATCGTATCGACTGGAAATCTATTATCGATTACTTTAATTTTCTTGGCTCTTCTCTTTTTCTTTTAGCGTTAAAAAACAAAATGTCGTAGCATGTTCCTCTACTGAAGTTGAGTACCGAGCTTTAGTGTCTGCTGCTGCCGAAATAATTTGTATCTATCGCTTGTGTCAAGAATTTAACTGCTCTCAGTCTACTGCTACCTCACTATTTTACGACAACACGTCTGCCATAGCTTTAGCTAACAACCCTGTGTTTCATGCCCGTACAAAACATATAGAAGTGAATTGTCACCATATTAGAGATTGTAGCAAAGACAAGGTCATCCAAGTACATCATATTTCTACTAAAGATCAGCTCGTTGATCTCCTAACTAAATCCCTCTCTATCTTACAGTTTCATTTCTTATCAATTAAACTGGTTGCATCTCAAGATGCAACAACTTGAGGGGGCCTATTAACATAAATCTCATATGGTACAGCTAGAACTCAAGATCAACCAGGCAGTTATCAAGAAATACACATGTCAATTTCTCATTAGCTGAATAATTGTACTTTTGCCTTCTAGCCTCTATAATAGGCTACTGTATATATTTCTTATGTTATGATAAGACAATACAGAAGTTTCCTTCTTTCTCTATTCTTTTTCTTTCTCCTTGCTTTTCTTGTTACAACTCACGTTTGTGAAAGACTTTCTGGAACTAAATGACAACCAATCATTTTCTGGTTATATGCATCAGTGATCAACAGTTAACTATGAAAACTTTAACTAAATCCTCAAGGGAAATGATATGTGGAGATTTCCATTCCTGATAGTGCATGAATGTAGAACTCCTTTAAAGCATCCATGCTTCATAAAAATTGATAAAATATTTCCATAGTTTTCTGCCTTCCATTAGAACTTTGTACATATTGGTTGTGATCTTTGCGTCAGAAGCTACTTTTCTACTTTTCCTTTATGTCCCAAATGATTGAATGAAGTTACTTGGATGCACTGAGAAACTAATGACTATTAAAGTTTACAAACACCTAAAAATCCCTTATACATGGCATTTTATTGTCGCAGACAAAAATAATGAGAATAAAATCATTATTTACTACAATATTCTATCTATCTACAAGCAACCAAATGAGTTCTTGGAGGAAAGGAAAGGGTGTGGGAATGCTATGGAAACAAAAAGCCGAAAAAAAAAAGGATCAGTGATGAATGGCCTAAGGATTCGTTTTGGACAGCTTTCTTTAGGGCTGCAAGCGAACCAAACGTTCGGCGAGCTACTCGTTGTTCGGTTCAATTAAAGCTCGTTTGCGATCGTTTAATTAACTAAACAAACAAACTTGAACAATATTTTAAATACTCGACTCTTAAATAAACAAACTTGAACACTAATGCATTCGGCTCATTTATGTTCGCGAACAACATCATTTGAAGTTCGTGAACAAGCTCGATAAGAAGCTCAATAAAAGCTCGATTCATGTTCGATTTTTAACTCGTGAATAGGCTCGATAAAAATAATTAATATTTGACTATAGAATTAATAAATATAAATAATCATTACCTTTGTTACATAGACAATTGTTTTTTTTATAAATGTATTTGTTCATAAATATGTTCATGAACGTGTTTGTTTGACAGTTAAAAAAATTCGTTAAATATGTTCACGAACAAGCTTGATAAACACTAAACGAACGAACATGAACTGAACATGAACCAAGCATGAACACTCAATTTAAATGAACCAAATATGAACACAAATGCTAAAGCTCGAACAAACATGAACCAAACTTGAACAAGCGGATATTAAATGAACACAAACATGAACACTCACATACTCGGCTCGGCTCGGTTCGTTTGCAGCCCTAGCTTTCTTACTGCTTCTTAAAGCAGTTTTCTAGTAAAAAATTTTAAAATTTGTACTATAAAGCTCCTTTAAAAAGCAGTAAGAAAGCCGTACCAAATAAAGCCTAAAATTCTATCGTCAACTGCCCACCATAGATGGTTCGCTGTCCATAACTATTGAAATTTGCAGAATAATATTATATACGGTTCTTCATTTTTCTATCAAAAGGAGTTCACCATAAGGATTTTTTATCCATCCAAAATTCATAAAAAGAATCAACATTTTAAGAAGATAGCAATGGGCTGACCTGAGCTCAGTGTCAGCCTCCTGAAAAACTAAGTTTCATCTGAACTCTCAGGCTTTCCCTTGTTTCTTGAATCATTTTCATCTGTTGAAGTATTGGAAGGATCTATATCTTCTGTTTTTTCAACTTCATTCATAGTGGAAGATGATTCTTTGCTTGTTCCTTCCATGAAAGAACTAAAGGCAAGCTGAACAGAGTAGAGAATCAACCCAATTGAGTTAATACCAAACACAAAAGTTGCCAGATAGCACAAACCATTCACAATAGTCCTGTTAAAAATGAAGCAAAGAGTTATGCGAGATTGTGCAAACCCGGATCAACGAAACATCAAGGGAACAAGGAAAATTTGACAAAACCTGATTGTGATCGTCAACTGGCGAACCTGGAACGATTTAAAAAAGAGGAATTTGTAAGCAATATGCGTACAAGGAAAATATCTCGCTCATCACTTGATTAAAATATGCTGGGAAATGATTAATGTGATGCCAAGGAGTCTCCATGAACCAGTAAATTGAATCATAATTTAAAGAAACAAAATTTTAAAGCCACGCATATTTCTTCATTTCAAGATTCATCATTCAGACCATATTTATTATATTTTCCATAATAGATAGACATGTTATTTTCATATAATATAATCCTAATAGATTGTGGAATTCGAAAGGTGAAAATTTGTTAAGCTCTATAGATAGTTTTTAAGAAAAAGTGCATTAGAATTCTTTATTAAAGTAAAACTTTACGTGGGATTAAACTTAAAAGTTAGTTCCATCAAAATAATTGTCGTAGAAATTATAAAAGAGTATAAATAAATCATGCAACGAAAATAAGATGGAGATGAGTGAGGAGGGGTAACGTGCTCTTAAGAAAAAGAAATGTTTTTAAAAGAGCGACAAAACTTGAATACTATTCAGGTTTATAATATATATATATTAATGCTAGAAGACTTATTAAGAGCGTAGTAAGCAAAGGAAAAGCTATAGCTTTTGAAGATTTATATGATAGGCTTTGTATAAAGAAGAAAAAGAGATATAAAATAGCTAAGGTAAGAAATAAGAGGTTTAAAAACTATGATCAATTCAAATGATTTAAAAACAAATATAATAGGATCTAAGTTAAGGATGAAGACATTAAGAAAATATATGTTTCATAATATGAAAGGATTAAATCATGCTCATCAGGCTCTTTTGCAAGCTCTCAACTTCCACATCAAACAAACCCTTTCATGTGATCCTATGATCCTATCAACAACCACACCCATTTGTGATCGATAACAAAACCCTCACCCTCATCGATCAACACCCTCACCCTCACCTTCATCATCAAGCTAACCCATCAAAGCATTTGCCATCACAATTTTCCACGACCATAACCATTCATCCTTCATCCACATCGCAATTCCAACCTGCCTAACTTATCATAGGGATTTGCAACCTCCCTATCCACCGCATACAACACCTATTGCACCTCACCATAATTACACGGCAATATGCAACACATCACACCGCTATATGTACCTATTTGTTGCAAGCCTTCCAAATTCAATCTCAGTTCTCAGTCTATCAAACATGTGGCAGACTATTGTGCTACAAACCACTTTTGATTTATCTAGCACAATCCACTAATCATGATCTCCATCAACCCATTCTAGCATAATGCTTTGATTACAACCCACCTACTCCTTGCCCAGGTACGATCCCTATCACAACTCATCACATCAGCACTCCATCTTTAACAAGCTTTTCTTTGCGCCTCTCAACCTGTCGTAAGATTTGGATTTTATTCTTATGGATTCATATTATCATATTTAGATTTAACTTGACATATGCTACTTTGACGGAAATCTAGAAAGATTAGTTGTTTAATACAAATCATGGCATACACTTAATTGAGTTGTTGCAAACTATGACAAAATCGAAGGAGATATCTCGTCTCCTACAAGAATATGAAAATGCAAAATAAATAAATATTGCAATGGATGGGCTATCTAATCTTTTGGATAATACTACTAGGCCTAACTCTTTTGCAGGTATATATGTTGGGAGACAACATATTTCTCACCTTTTATATGCAAATGATCTCCTCATTTTTTTGTGAGAGCTCCAAGAACAATGCTTCTGTGCATTTGAGAACTATGAATGATTTTGGGCTGTTTCTGGTCACTTTATTAACCCAAGGAAAAGCAACATCTCCTTTTCTAAAGTTGCTAGTAATTCTAGTGAGATTTGCAATATTCTCAGTATCTTTAATATTAACTAGACTTTCAAATATTTGGGTATAGTTATTTCTTCAAAGAGGCTTCATATTAATGATTTCCAACCCCTCATTGAGAATATTAACAACCACTTTGTTGGTTGGAAAGCTAGGCTATTGTCCTTTGTGGGTATGCTTCGGGTTATTCAATTTACAATATGGAATACATATAGCTTACTGGATTAGGGGTTGATCAATCTTGCCTAAAAGTCATTGTAAGTTCATTGGAAGAGCCTGTGCTAGTTTCCTATATCATGGGAACTCAAGGAAAAAGAAAATGCAACTTGTTCCTTGGAATAGAACCTTTCTTCTCAAGGCACTGGGTGGATTAGGCATACCAGCTATTCACACATGCATTTATTCCTCTCTTATTTGACGTTTGGTTAATTCTACCTCATTACTTGCTAGCTGGTGTATGAGTGTTTACTTCTCTCCTTCGAAGAAGCAGCTCCAAATGCATCTAGTTTGTGGAAAAAGATCACTTTAGTTGTGGGTAGTATAAAGATGAAATTTTGCTTTACTATTACTCAACATTCTGAGCTTTCTTTACTTTGGGATCCCTAGCTTAAGGAGGACAGGAATCTATCTAAGCTACTTGCAAATCAAAAATTGTCTATTTCCATCCCTTGCGATGACCTATTTCTAATTTTATAGCCAAAAATTGATGAATTTTGCTAGATACTCTCTCTCAAAACAATAAAAATGCTACTCTTGATATTTCCAGGACCGTTGATTATGAAAATTGCTTTACTTGGAAGGAAAATCATAATGCTAATTTTAAAAAATTTCTTGAGGATTTCTCCCAGGATCAACATGATATTTCCTAGCATTCATTTATTTGGCATAGTAAATACTCACTTAGATTTACTATGGCTGGCCTTGGTTGGGGGTTTAAAAATGGTTGTTGTTTTAATAAAACGAAATATACCATCTCAACCTATTTGCACCTTTTGTTTGAATTTGAGGAGCCCTATACTCGCCTATTTTTTGAATGTTTCAACATTCTTTTAGCATTATTTCATACTTTCTCCCGTGGGCTACAAATTTCCTTCTCAGGTCGAGCCTTCTGCAGCTTTAAATTACATTTCTGATATGGATCACTTTGGGAAAGATGCAAAAAAATTATTTCTTGGCTACTGCATGCTCCCTCTACTTCATTTGGAGGGAGAGGAATGCTAGGAGATTTGATGATATCATTAAAAGCTCTTCTACCACTTGTGCTAGAATTAAAAAAAGCACTTTATTATAAGACAACTTCCTAGAAGAACTCTGGACCCATTCAGTAGTTTATCTCTTACTTTTGAATTTAGATCTATTGATATTTACTTTAATAACATTGTCGTTGCCAGGTCCCAAGTCATAGAAAAGAAAAGTGATGGGTTGCGTTAGGTTAGTCGACAGTCAACATAAAATTTGTCGAATAATCATGAAATGAATCCTTTAATATATTGTGTTAATGCTAGAGAGTTCCCTAGAAGTGACGCGTTGTATGGCTTAAATATAGTGACAGTGAGCAAGGGTCGCTCCACCAATGCCGGGGTGCTGTGTTAAATAGGCAAGGATTCCCATATTATGGATGGATGTGGGCAAAGAAGCTAATCCATAAAATTAAAATTATGATAGAAACTTAGAATATAGGTTCCCTTACAGGCAAATTAATGGAATTAATAGATATTATGATTTATAGAAAGATAAATATTCTTTGCATTCAGAAAACTAAATGAGTTAAAGAGAAAGCTAAGGAGATTGATAGTTTAGGATTTAAACTAAGATATTTTGGTAAGAATCGTACTAGAAATGGTGTAGGTGTGATTATAGATAAGTGTTTGAAGGATAATATTGTAAAAATTAATAGAATTTGAGATAGGATTATAGCTTTAAAGATTATGGTTGATGCTAAAATTATTAATACTATAAGCACTTATGCTCCTCAAAAAGGTTTGAATATGTGTTTTTAAAATTAAAATTTTGAAATGACCTAAAAGAATTAATACAAATGATACCTCTCGAAGAAAGAAATTTTATTGGAGAAGATTTAAATAGACATGTTGATAGAGAGATAAATGATTTTAAAAACATTCATGATGACTATGACTTTAGAGCAACTAATGAAAGACCATATTAGATTTTTTTTAGCTTATGATTTTGTAACTGCTAATATCTTGTTTAAGAAAAGAGATGAGCATCTCATCACTTATAAGAATAGATATCATAAAACTCATATTGATTATTTTTTTATAAAAAAAAATATATCATTTAGATTGTAAAATTTGTAAAGTTATTCTGAGTGAAACTTTATGTACCCAACATCGCTTATTAGTTTTGACCTTTAAAATGAATGAACAGAAAATAAAATTAAAATAAATAATTGTTCTAGGATTAGATGGGGATATTTGATGAATATTAACAAAAATATTTTTGAGAGTAAGATCTTAGATCTTAAGATTTTGTCTGTGTATGAGAAAACTAATATTATGTGGAACAAAGTAGCTATTAATATTAAGAATGTTGTAAAAAATGTGCTTTATGTATCAAAAGGAAAAACTATTAATACTAAAAATAGTTGGTGGAATCAAAATGTGCAAAAGCAGATAAAAAATAAGAAAATTTATTATAAAAATTGATTTAGCTGTAAAACTTTGATAATTGAGAAAGAAATAAAGAGGCCCGTAAGGAGTCTAATAAAGCAATTTGCAATGCAAAGATTTTAGTTTTTAATGATTTATATAATATATTAGATAATAAGAAAGGTGAAAGATATATGTATAAATTAGATAAATAAAGAAACAGGAGTAGTAAGGATTTAGTTCAACTGAAGTGTATTAAGGATGAAGATCAAAAAAATTTTTATTAGAAAAGGATATTCAACAACGGTGGATGAGATATTTTGCTAAATTTTTTAATAAATATTATGAGAATGCATTTGACTTTAGTGACCTTAGCATCCTAAATGAAAATAAAGATTTTTGTTTTAATCGGCATATTAGTAAAACCAAAGTTAAAAAAAACTTTAAGGAAAATGAAGCGTGAAAAAACTGTTGGACCTGATGATATTCCAATAGATGTGTGATAATGCTTAGGAGATAAAGGAATTTCTTGGCTTACTAAACCTTTTAATATTATTTTGAGGAC